CAAGCGCCAGAGGGGACGAAATTCCGTGGAGAAAGTCGGTGATGCGAATGGCGATGAGCACAAGAAAGCAACATCAAACTCGGTGGAGCGAGCGAGCGAACGTTCGTAATAACAACACCTTCTATTTTGCTTCCTTCTGATCAAGTAAATTGATACTATTTCCTAATTCTGGATGGATGACCTTCTGATTTTGTACATGGGGACTAGTGCACTATACAATTTGAGGCTGATGCGATTTAGGTCAAATCAATCATATAATGAAATCTTGACAAAAAAGACTGGAAGCATGAAATGCATAACAGAAAGACAAATTCATAAAAACAATAAATAAAGTTCATTAAAGGACGTTAACTTGATGGTTCCAGAGAGACTGTGAAACCGAATATTTATTCAGAAACTTACAAATACACATTTGTACTGAATAAAGCAAGGATGAACAGATGATAACTTAACTTCAAACTTCACAACACTGACAACAGCGGAAGAACAAGGATAAAAACAAAGAGCCATCACGTAATCTACGTCGGAACAAGGGTGACGGACGGCCCCGCCACCGCGGCAAACTCTAACGCCAACCCGGCCGCGAGCGCGATCACCGCCACCACGCCAGCGGCGCCGCACAGAGCGGCGCGCCGTCTCCACCAGCGCCGCCGAGCGGCAGTACCTGTCGTGGGCGCCACCTCTATCGCCGCGGCCGCCTCCTTGTGTGCTTCCGCCGCGTCGCCGCTCCCGGGGCTGCACTTGGGGTCGGGCGCCACCTCCGGGCCCGTGAACTCGAAGCCGGAGCAGGAGTCGTTGCATGAGCAGCCGCCGGACGACCCGGACTCGGACTCGGACGCCGCCTGATCGGCTTCTTCTTCCTCGGTTGCCGCGGCGACGACACTCTGCGCCCACTGCTGGAACGCCCTCTCGAGGACGCCGAAGCGCTCCTCGGCCTCGACAAGGTGCCCCGGCCGCCCGCCGCTGTGGCTGTGGCTGTCCCGCTCGGCGGCGATGAGCGAGCGGAGGAAGTCGATCCTGGCCTGGATCTCCGGGAACAGTCTGGCGTCCACGTCGTAGCGCCGCGGCCGGGAGTTGAGCGCCTTGTCGAGGCAGTCGTCAAGTTCGACGAGCTTCCGCTCCACCACGGGGTTCGAGCGACGGCTCGCCGGCCGCGTCGCCGCCAGCGGCGTGTCCATGGCAGGGCTTCTTCCGTTTCTGGCGCGGCAGTGGCGTTCTCCGTCGGTGGTGGCCGCACTGATGTGGGAACGGGCGGTTTTGTTGCGGTCTGAGCGGCCGCGTGTGAGGTTTGAGGGGTTGCGGCTCTTCGCCGGAACGTGCGCGCGCGCTTTGGCAACCGCATCGTCGGGAGCGCGCAAATTCGATCTGATTTCTGCGTGCCTCGTGAGGCGAGAGCGTGCGCATTTTTGATGTGGGAAGTGGGAGTAACCGCAATCTCAAGAACTCGCGGAGTGAAGGGAACGATGCATCGAATATTCTCGGCCCCGTGGGCTGATTTCGGCTTTTCCTTTTTCAGTTAATTATGGGCTGCTTTTGGAGGCCTCCTGCACAGGCTGGTTCGCCAGTAGAAATTGCCCCTATAGGCAAAATCACTAATTAAGGAGTACTCGTTGCAAAGAACACTCCACTTTCTCAGTCACGACAAGTGGTGCACATGCAGCGCGTCACTTGTCGCAACCTGAAAGTTTTCCCTTTTTTCGTAGATCCGTTTATTCAAAACGTTTTATCTCTTAAACCGTGCGTCCAAATTTCGAACCGTTTTCACCATTGGATTCCTCGCGTCGAGATCATCAAAACTAGATCCCATGTTGATAGGTTCTGACGAATTTTTTTTCATAAAAAAACCAGGAAAAAAAACCGGGTGAAAAAACCGAACCGGGAGCACGGTTTTTTCCCTTTCCGAAAGAGACCCGCCCGTGCCTCTCGTAAAATCACAACCGTGCCTCTCGTGGAAGCAAAACCATGACTCTCGTGTAAGGAAAAATACAACAGAAACCGTGTTTTTTTTCGTTTCCGAGAGGGACGGCCGTGACTCTCGCGAAAGCACAACCGTACCTCTCGCGAAAGCAAAACCGTGACTCTCGCGAAAGGAAAAAAAACAGAAAACACGTATTTTTTTCCCTTTCAGATAGGCACGGTCGTGACTTTCGCGTAAGCACAACCATGCCTCTCGCGGAAGCAAAACTGTAACTCTCACGAACGAAAAAAAAATAGAAAACGCGTTTTGTCCGAGAGGCACGGGCGTGACTCTCGCGAAAGCACAATCGTGCCTCTTGCGAAAGCAAAACCGTGACTCTCGTGAAAGAAAGAAAAAAACAAAAAAATGTTTTTTTTGTTTCCGAGAGGCACGGCCGTGACTCTCGCTAAAGCACAACCGTGCCTCTCGCAGAAGAAAAACCATGACTTTCACGAAAGAAAAAAAGAAAACACGTTTTTTCACGATTTTTTTTCAAAAAGTTAAGAAAGACCGGGGGGAAACCAAAACGTCGAAACCCCCAAAAAAAAACCGTTTAAAAAGCCGAAAACGCGTGCGGAAAAATAAAAAAACAAAATCCGAAAGAAGCGTCCAGAGCGCGACACGTGGCGAATGGCTGAGAGCGCGCCAAGTGGTGCTGATCGTTGCGAGGCTCCCGAAGGAGCACTCGTTAACTAGTTGCTCCCCCCTATAGGTGACGACCAGCGGGCCAGTTCATTACTGCGGTTTGTCGTAGGTTCGCACTGCCCCGTTTTTCATCAGATATTTTTTGTTTTCTTTTGTTTTTTCCTTTGGTTTTATTTGTTTTTCACCTGATTTCTCCTTTTTTTTCTCTTCATTTTACTTTGGTTTTCTTTGTTTTCACATTGTTTTTTTGGTTTTTTTCTCTCTTTGTTTCACTTTGGTTTTCTTTGTTTCTTTTCTAGATTTCTTTGGTTTTTTGCTTTTTGTTTTGTTTCTTTGTCGGTTTTCAATTTTTCATCGATTTTCAATTATTTCAATCCATATCTGCTTTTTTCTCAGTACACAACATACATTTTAGAGCACATGTGAAGTGCTTTTCTGACACATGTTGGACATTTTTTAAATACATGATGTACAATCTTTAAAAATGCATATTTAGAATACACGGTGACATCCCGAAATACATGTCGCCCATTTGTTTAATGCCAATAAACATTTAAGCATGAATAATTTTCTTACATTGTATAAACAATTTCATAGACATTTTTGGAAATACTGATTATTTCTTTAAAATGCCATGTACATTTTTAATGAAAATAAATATGATAACCTACGCAATTGTTTTTATAATGCATTTAAACATGATCACCTTGTTGTCTCAAGAAAAGAAAATTGTGCACCTCGCATCATGTGGCACATAGCCGCACCCACGCTGGTTTCCTAACCAGCCCTCGCTCACGCGAGATCTATTTCTTGCCTAGAGCGGGACGGTAGGTTGTCTCGCTATAGGCGAGCACGAGCGCGCCAGCCATTTTAGTGCAGTTTTCTCATTAGCTGTAGGTTGGCTTTAGGTCTAGTTTTCTCTGTTTTTATTTCTTTCTGTTATTTTTGTTTTTTCACCAGTTTTCTTCTTCTTATTTTTTTTTCATTTTTTCGTTATAACTTCCTTTTCCTTTTGCTTTCCAGTTTTTGTTTTTTTATCGGGTTTCACACGTTTTTCCTTTTCTTTCTTTTCTTTGTTTCTTCTCTTCGAATTTCATTGTTTTTGTTTGCTTTTATTTGTTTCTCTTTCCTTTTCGCTATTTTTATGGAAAAGGCTATCAATCAGCCAGACTGAAAACTCATTGCTTGTCCGCCGCCACCTCTATGCTACATGTGTCCTTGTGGGTCTCACCAACCTTATCTTCTCCCCTTTCTCAGCCTTATCACATCCTTTGTTTTCTCTTCACCTGTAATGGCCATGGAAGAGTGAAGCTCGCACGGAGGGCTAGGCGGAGCTTGTACACGTATGCGCTTTGCGGTTCAGCCGCGCGACCATGGTTGGGATGGCTGGGGCGACATGTGTGGCGTGGAGCGATGCAGGAAGGGACCAGTCCGAGCTTGAGCTTCGCCACGGCATGTCCATGGCGGCCGGACTTGGATGTGCAGATGTTTCATTTAACAAGGTCTTTTACTGTGAGTTTTTGCAGCACCGGCGTTTGCAACACGATCGACGGTTATGCCTGTGTGATATGCATAGGCAACAACGGTGTTTTCTCCACATCATTTCATTGCAAAAATTTCCACAACATATCTATGTTGCAAAAGTTCTTCCGAAACATCATCGATGTTACAAAAATGTGAAGACGAAATAAATATCTGCGACATAACCTCTGTTCCAAAGCTCATTCCGCAACATCATCTATGTTGCAAAAGATAAACAAGGTGATAGAAGAATTTTTTCCTGCAACACAACCTTGCAAATAAAATTTCTGCAACATGATCATTGTTGCAAAAATGACGCTTAAGAAAATAACACGTCAAGCTAAAAATACACTTTGGGTGGTTTTGCAACGAAGCCGTTGTTGCAGAGCGAACATCGCAAAGACAAGCTTGTTGCAATTTGAGACACACGCTTGAGGAGATCTAACGGTTATTTTTGAGTCAATCGGATGGCGTCGGAGGCGGCAGATGTTTTCGTTCTATCCACCGTCCAATGCGTAGCATCGCCCTATTTTTATCCTGATTTCTTTGCCTTTTTTTTCATTTATTGTATGTATTTTTCTTTACTGTTTTCATCGATCATTAGAACATCTGTTGATTATTTCTTATTCATTGGGTTATTTTATGTTTTTCATTGTTTTCTTTGTTTTTTTGTTTTTTCATCTTTTTTTCATATAGAACATGAACATTTTCAAATACATCGACTAATTTTATAAAATACATACTTTTTATTTCTACATTTTTCATATACATCGTATATATCAGGAACATTTTTTATATATGTCTAACATTTTTAATATACAAGTTTAACATTTTTAATACATAATGAACATTTAAAAGTATATATATTTTTTATGTCTACTTTGCTCATACATATTCTATATTTTTGTATATACACGTTTAACATTTTCTATATACACCAGGGACATTTTCTATATACACGTTTAACATTTTTCATATACATGATTAACATATACTTAGAAATATTTTTTATGTCTACTTTTCTCATACACATTCTACATTTTTGTATACATCAGGTATAACTAGATCTGGCCCTTTCCGTAAAAAGAAAAATGGAAAAAGAAGAAGAGGTATAACTATGATCGCGAACACCCTGCAAAAAAGAAAACTTTGACCACTAACCATCTGAAGCAACAGACAGTTCTTTTTTTTCGCGAATACGTAACTTGCGTATCATTGCATTGAGCAACAGCCAGTTCTGTGCCTTTCAATGCTGGAAGCTTCAAGAGGCGCTTAGGAAAGGAAAAAATAAATATCACAAAATAAAAAATACCTAAGCGCCCCACCCTCCCAATGCTGAGCGCTAACTTCAAGCGCTAATTACGACCACGCACGCCTGGCGGAGCGAAGAAAAGAGGCCTAGCGCCCGATGCAAACCTTTGCATCGATGCCACACCTAAGCTAGGATTTGATGGGCTAACTGCTAATCGGCCGGGAAATCAATGGGAAATATATCCTGGCGTCCGTCTAAGCGTCTGGCGTTGGAGATGCCCTAGAATATGGCTGGTCCTTTGGAAGCCTTCAAACAAGTTGGTCTTGCCTCTTATTAATCCTCTGGTTTGATTTTTGTGCAATGTTGTACTCCCGTCCGTGACCGACAAGATGCAATATTCAAGTTACGAGCCAGCTTAACAGTTTAGCAACAATCCAATACGTCCAGGTCATAATACTCAAGGATACATCAATCAGCAAGCAGGAACAAACGCCAACATGCACCCACTAATGCAGCGATCTTGTCATTAGCGCCATTTTTCAGCAAACCGATCCAGATCAGACTCCCAATTGCCGTCGATCACATGCAAGTTCACGAGCAAGAGAACGCAAGCACGCAAATAATTCACCAGCATGGCACCGATCTCCCCCCTATAAATACCAGACTCAAGCACCACCCTTAGGGCATCACAAGCACTTAGCAGTCCAGAGCTCCAGATCAGCTACTTGATCTGTGCTTACTGATCACTCGGCAGCAATGGCAGGCAAGGCATCGATCGCGCTGTTCCTCGCCGTGAACCTGGTCGTCTTCTCCGTGGCCAGCGCGTGCGGGGGAAACTGCCCGACCCCGTCGACGCCCACCCCATCGACGCCCACCCCGACCCCGGGCTCGCTCGGCAGGTGCCCACGCGACGCGCTGAAGGTGGGCGCGTGCGTCAACGCGCTGAACCTGGTCAAGGTCCAGGTGGGCAGGCCGACCGCGTTGCCGTGCTGCCCGCTGGTGGATGGGCTCGTCGACGTCGAGGCGGCCCTGTGCCTCTGCACGGTGATCAATGCCAGCGTCCTCAGCATCGTCAAGCTCAACCTCCCCATCAACCTCAGCCTCATCCTCAACCACTGCGGCAAGAAAGCGCCCACCGGGTTCATGTGCTAAGCGATCTAGCAAGGTGTGACATGCAGCCCACGCATACGTTGGCTGCATGCGGCCATGCGGATTAGTGGTGCGAGAGGGGCATTGTTCTGCTTGATCAGTTGTTTTGTTTCTGCCGGTTACGTTGTTTGCTTGGTTTTGCTACTTGACGTGCTAGCCACAAGTCTACACATGCATGCATGCATGCTACAGAGAGTACGTATGTAGACGGTTTAATCATTTTTAATGTTTTTTTTATCGTTCTTTCTTGGCGCGTTCTTTCATGGCTTATGGCTTGTATTAGTTTTGTACGATCTGCATGATGAATAAAGTTTTTCCTTACTACATGCTTCCCGTGGAAGCTGTAATACTGTTTGGTGATTTGCCAAATAGGCTTTGATCAATGCTGGACGAAGGTTTCCCTCACAAAAAATATGGTGAAGGAACCTACGAAAATTGACCTATGTGATTATGCGTCCAACTATTGTTGCCGCTAGAACTGCTTTTCTTTTAGATCGTTTTTTCCTCTCGTCCTGGCGGTTGGAACCATAGCCGCCACCAGAAAGCCAATCTTGTAGCGCCGTTCTCCGGCGGCTCTCCT